AAATATCCTCAAAGTTCATGCCACAGGAACAGGAAACTATTCCAAACAGGGCTACTTCCCAAAGCAGTCGCCATGTTTGCTTATTTATTCCCGGCTTGGATGAACCAGGATGAAGACTTTACTTCTATCAGCATAAAGAACTTTATTGTATTAGTTCAACCTTCTAATGTGGTGCCACCCAGAAGTGTTCACTCACCTCCCAGCATTTCTACCCAATGGCCATTTGGATTAGAAAAGCAAGGAGGCTGAAACCAAGGAACTGGAGGGCACCAGGCTAGGCAAATGGAGTGCTTTCCCATTCCCTTTTGTACATGTGCCTATAACTGGAGGATCTCATGCAGCTATACAGCATTCGGTTTGAGTAGCCTGAATCCTCCCCATCAGCAAAGATCTGCCCATACAGGCTCTGAAAAGATCATCAGGAGACTGGTAGATGACCAAACTAGACCTGCCGACATAAGACACTTTGTAGAAATCCAGGGTATTTTTACATCTCTGGAAAAAGGAAGAATGAATATAAAGGTTTTTAACCTTTTTTTTATATCATGGACCCCTTTGAGAGTCTGGTGAAAACTTTAGATCCTTACTGATGAATATGCATTGAAATATATAAAATAAAATAGATGGGTGTGGGTTGTATTAATAGAATATCTGTAGCTCAGATTTGAACTTTGGAGTCCTTGCTGCCCTCTAAGCTTGGTTGAATATTGATTGCTGAGCCATCAATAGACCTACTGAGATAAACCACACTTTACACACACTCAAAAGAGACAATAAAAAACTAGGAAGGAAACAAAAGGAGTAGAACACATCCCCTCCAATATTCAAACAAGGAGGGATCAATCCCAGAAAAACAATCTGGCAGAAAGCAATATTCTAATCAAAGAATCACCAAGAAGGAATCCCCTTTCCCCAAAACCTGGGAAGTAAAGCTGCTGTACAGCATATAAATAGGGAGCAAATTGCATGCTCACTTGAACTGATGCTATTATCTAGTCAGGTAATAAAACATCTGCAAACAAGGTCAGGGAGCACCTAGAACTCCAAAGATTGCATTACAAAGGAGAATAATTATGCTTAAATAAAGTTATCAAAATATCTCGAATAAATAGGGAGAAAAAAGTCAGATTTAAATAAAGAGCTTGACACCTCTTGGACAAATCTCTAATAAACATAGTTATAACTAGACTAATCACGTAGTATAAATTAACTGTCTAATCAAAATTATTCTGGATAAGTTCCTTAAAGTTGCCCCCTCTCCCAAAAAATCCTATACATTTGGATTGTGGCATAATTTGTGTTCACCACAATTTTATTTCTCATTTGCAATTTAGCCTCTATTTGTTAAAGTGCTGCTGTTTTCTGTAATTATCTATTACTTAGAAAAAGCTGTAAATAAGCCACTCCTGCTACAATTACTGCTTGTTAATGCCTCGGGAGATCAACATTAAGCTAAAGATATTGTATGCAAATCCCAGTCATACATACTATTTTGGCACTTCATGGTCTTTAATCCTATTAAAGAGGATTTTCTTATTTGTATTCATTAGAAGTTGACTATTACACTTTGTATATAAAATGGGCTCAATAAACTTTTCCATGTAATTTAACTGGAAACTGTACAATCACTGCCACATAGCTTTCGTTCACTCGAGGTCTTGTGACAGGTTCTTTTTTTAAAAATCATGCTCAATTGGATTGACCCAAACTCAGGAGAGACACAAACCCACTGGATCCTGGACAGGCAGATTCTTTATACTTCCCTATAAGGATTGGGTGGTGGTTTTAATTTGTGAAAACAAACATGTTAAAAGTGATATGAAAATGCTTTTTATATTGCCATCTCTATACTATTACCATTATTACTACCATATACTATTACTCTTCAATTACTATTATGAAAATTTTTATACTCTATATCATTACCAATCAATATACTATACTCTCTACTATTACTATTCAATTACATTACTTATTACTTTATTACCTAATCACCTTTTACTTGTTGTATACTAGTATGTTAAGATTTTAGGAAAGGACATTTCTGTCTTAAATCTGTTCTGTCCATCCCCTCTATTTCATCTTCTTTTTCAGTCAATAGCCAACATGTCTAGCTCTTGCCACCTTTTTTACATTGTGCTTTGTCTTCCTGTGCTGCTATACATCCTTTTCCTCAAATAGGAAAGGAAAAAGGCAGCATGGGTGCCTGAAATTTTGTTAAGCTCCCTGCTCTTCCACAGGCCTCCTCTCTAATTCATTTTATTTAAAAAACCCCAATCTATCAGCCTAAGATATAGTTTCCTTTTAAATATATTTTAGAAAACACACCATAGCAGCAGTCTAGTTTGTACATAATACTAATCCATAAAGCAAGGTTTATAAACCATAACAGTTGGGCTTATAGATATCTCACTAAGCAAATCCGACAATTTTGGTTTTATATATCAACACCTGGGGGCCCATTCTCACATAAATTCAAGATTTTATTCAAAAAGGTATAATTTACATAATAATTATGCTTGTTTTCATTTCATTTTAGTAGGATTATGAACGCAAACTAACTTGGGAAGGGGGCATGGATTAATGCTTAGCCTGAAGAATATAGTTTAATAGCATAGTGGAGAATTTCAGTTATTTTTTTTCTCACCAGTAACCTGGCTTTCTGTATCTAATGGTGAGCAGAATCCAGCAATTCCACTCACAATTGATGAGATTTCTCCCCGTTTCCCAGACACTTTGCTTAAAATTGGTGATTCCTCCCCACAGGGAATCAGTAATCTTCAAGCAGGCAGGCCCTAGTTCTGAAAAGGTTGAGGAAAATACCCTTAAAGGAAGTACTCCTCTAATTTTTCTTTACGCCCTTAATTTTTCCCCATTTTCCAATGCCATTTAACCAGGCCAATTAAAAATATGCCCCTGCCTCCTCCAGCCAAGTCCTGGGGTTGGCTACAGTGGTGAAGGTATCAGGCCAGAAACCGGGTGTCCGTACACTCTAGTCCAGTGGTTCTCAACCTTTTTAATGCCGCGACCCCAACCGGTCGTAAGTCAAAGACTAAACCGGTCGTAAGTTGAGGACTAAACCGGTCGTAAGTCGAGGACTAAAACAGTCATAAGTCGAGGACTACCCAACCGGTCGTAAGTCGAGGACTTTCCCTGCCTGGGAGCGCCGCGCATGTGTGGTTCCGCCCCCTGCGCCGGCCGAGGCGTAGCTGGCAAGCAGCAGAGACGGAGCAGGCCGACCACCAGCTGGCCCAGCCCAAGGGAGGTAAGGCACCTGCCGGAAAATGGGAAAAAATGGCGGACAAAAAAATGGCGGACAGCCTTGCTTGGCGACCCCCGTGAAATGGTCGATCGACCCCAAATGGGGTCCCGACCCACAGGTTGAGAACCACTGCTCTAGTCCCACCACGTTAGGTTCAAAGCCAATTGGGCACCTTGGGCCCGTCATTTTCTCTCAGGGAGAAGGAAACGGCAAACAACTTCTGAGAAACCTTGCCAAGAAAGTTTCACAGATGTGTCCATCAGTCGCCAGGAGTCAAGAAAAAAGAAATCCTCTGACTCAAGACACAAACACACACTCAAGTTTGAAAGCAGGGCTGCTGCAAATGGGCAGATAAGTTTTGTTTCCTCTCCTTCTAGTGATGAAAATTCCTGGGAGAAATAGAGAGCAATCAAGTCTCTCTGTGTGTGTGTGCATGTAAACATTTTCTTATAATATTTAGTCCCAGACCGAACAACTAGTGAGGTCTACCTCAAAACTGTACCTGAGATAATCCAAATGAAAATTATTTCCGTTTTAATCACCACCACTTTTCCACAAAGTAGGAACCTAGAAACGATAAACTTGTTTCGGGAAAGGCAAAAAATCAGGAGGACTCTGGCAGCACCTTTTCCAGCTAACAAATTGTTATTGGAAGACATAACTTTTTGTGAGCTGCAGCTCACTTCATCAGATGCTTTATAATAAAAATTGGTTAGTTGAAAAAATTAATACCCCCTGATTTTTGCCCCCACTAACTAACACAGCTCTCTTTCCATCATACCTGGGAAGGATAACATTTAGCAAGTTTTTCTGTTGCTTTAAGGCAGAAGAAATCCCTTTGTTTTCCCAATGAAAAGGTTAGCCTCAATAGCCAGTACCCTACCTATGGGAAAATATTATCCTCAAACTCTAGATTCTATGAAGGATACGGGGGGGGGGGGGGGGAGAAGCCTTGGGGAAAAAAACACAAAAAATACTCTCTTCTCTTTGACTAACTTATTTTTTTTAGTAATTCTATTCATTTATAACATAAAATGTAAAAATAGAAAAGCAAATAGTAAGGAACAACAGTAGAGAAAGGGATTAATTAATTGAAAACAGCAAACTTATTTGCTAGGCTCTCTCAGATAATCATTAGAAGAAAGTTTCACCAGAACAACATTTATTCTTTTTATTTTGTGATTTCTCCCCATCTCAGAGTGTCTAATTCCCTCACTGAGGTTATCCTATACACTCAACAGTATAACCAGCCTGCATCTGCAATTTATTTTTCTGACACTCTATCAAGGTAACACAAGGAGTTACAGATTTGAAAGAGGGTGTCACTTTTTTTCCTGATAATTGGCAGACCGATTCACAATGGTGGCCAAAATCCTTTCTTGAGATGTTTGCACATGGCAAATTCTTTAAAAACAACAACAACCCAGCATTATTTATTCTACCGGATAAAACACAGTCTAGAAACACATCTCCAGATGTATAAGTAATGCATCCTTCATGAGCAGAAAGATCAAGGAAGCTGGCCCTAAATCATGAAAAGACTGCTAAAATTAGTCCCATGCCTAAATATGCATCTGTAGGTTTTCTAGAAGTTTCTTCTAATTAAAGAGAAAACTGAGATGATGGGTATTAGGCAAAAATCTTAGCAACTCATCTATCCCTCACACATGCATACCAAGATTATTCCCTTTGGGCATTTTCCAGAAAGAATTTGAATGAGGTGTTTTAGAGAACATACCATTTTGTTCTGAGCTTCTGTACAAGAGAATGATCCTAAGCCTTCTGGCTCCTCAGATGCACACTGTCTCCAAGGAATGAATATCAATCACAACAGTGTGCCTCAGTAGGTGACACTATCTTTTAATTCTTCCAGTGTTTGTGCAAAAGGCACTTTTCTAATGTCAGAGTTTTCTGTTTCCTTTTTCTCTCTTGAAAAGCAGGAAAATAAAGTTATGCTTTACCTATAAAAAAAATTCCTCTGATTAGAGTACCTACTAACTCCAGCAACATAATACTGTAAATAAATAGACTTCAGCTTTGCAGAAAATGTTATCACCACCTTGAGTAAATACTGCCGGAGTGATTATGAGCTCTGAATTAAAGGTCAAGAAAAATAAAACGCCCAAGAACAATATAATACTGTTCAATTCACAATCTCTTCTTTCAGGGTGTTGTTCAATTCTTGTCCTGGATTTTCAACCAAGTTTAATTTGTTTTTGTTTTTCTAAACTCTTCCAGGAAATGAAGAGAAATTCATGACAGGAAATGAAAAAGCAATCTAAAAATGGTATATGAGTTTGCACACCTACACTGATGAATATATGTTATGATTTAATTAGGGCTAGGCAAGAAATAAATAGATCACTTACTTTGAAATTACATTTTAATCAATGTATGATTGGGGTTCTCAGACTTTCTAGCACCTTAGCTGTCAACTGAGTTTTGAAGAAGAAAAGCTGGAACACAAGATAACTCTTCCTACTCTGCCTATGTAAGGCTGATCAGGTGCTATGAGGAGCCCCCCCCCCCCGATACTAGTGAACTCCATGAGGGCCCTGATCCACTGTTTGATCATTCCCATTCAACATAAGAGTTCCCATCTTTTTGCTTTGCATTTCTTTACTTTTCACTTCACACATCAGTTGTAATAATTCTGTTGCCTAGCATTCTCCCTTTAATTAACCAAAACATAATGAATTAGAAGAGGGCTAAACTGACTGCTTTGATTAAAGAAAAAAAACACAATTACTTTTGTTTCGACTTGGAAACCACTTCTGGACTTTGTGCTTGAGGTGGAAAAAACGAAACGTTTACCAGTTAGATAGGTTTGTTGTTGTAGAAATGGCTAGTTTATATTAATATGTAAAAATAAAAACTTGAGGTTTGATGCTGTTATTCTACTGCACCAAAGGGAGATGGAAGTCAATGCCTTTTCTTTCATTTTTTCCTTTGCCCTACACTTTTCTCTTCCCTTCTCTTTCTCTTACTTTCCCACTATTTTCTTTTGTATTTTTGCATTTTATATTATTAACTAATAAAAAAAATAAAAATAAAACAAAAACACAGTGAAGCAGCATTATGGGATCACTTTCTGCTTTTTAAAATATAAAGGTGGTCAGTGGTTCCCTCCCAACTTTTTTAAGCATTAACAATCTCACCCTGTTACAACTGTTTGCAAAACCTATTTTCTCAGTGCTTGCCAAATTGATCCAGCATGTCAGACTTTGTAAAGCTTAAACAAAACTGAAAGAGATTCCTATCTCTGTTAGGTCAAAAAATATTGTTTTGTTTTTTTTAAACTCCATTCAAAATGGTTTGGGATCTGAAACCCTCTACCAAAGCAGTACTAGAGAGCTGCACATCTCAACTATATGTCTATATGATGGGAACTGCTTTGGAAAAACTTGGGAGATTACTTTTAAGGTACTTCTCAAAATGTAGTAGCCAACTAAAATTAGTGTTCACAGAACTGCTAAAGTTTAATAGTGAAGCAAAGGAAAGGATGCTGATGCATTCCTTGTTTGATTTAAAGGGAGGGACTATGATTTATTATAAACCAGACAATCTTTCCTCATCCCTTTCCTTAGGCTCCAATTATTACATGGACAACTACATTGGTGATCTGGATTCACTCTCAAGATCATATTCTCTGGATAGTGTTCTGCTTGTTTCTAGTGGAACCTCTACCTAGAAGCAAGTTAAATTAAACTAGATAAATCTCTTCCCACTTTTTTGATGCAACATAAATAAAAAGCCGATCACATAGAAGGCCTCCTGTTTTTCTTAGCAAGAAGCTCAGAGGTGATAAACATACCTTATTTTGGCTTATCTTGATAGCAGATACACTCCATTAATCATTGGCTATCCTGGGAAATAGCAGGTAAATTCTCCTCCAGGTGCTATAATTCATTATCTGGAATGGGTATCTTGGTTTAATGTGATTTAAGAAAATATTCATTGCCAACTTGATTAGAAAGTCCTATCAGCAACCTGGCAGGGGAGGCACTTAGTGTGGCATGGCACCATTTTGTGATTGTCACCCTTTGTCTTTAGGAAGTGCAAATACAAATGTGTCAGTTGTACACTGGATCCAGAAACACTGTTATAGTTCAGTAGTGTCCTTCCATTAATAAAAAAGTTGGGAAGCTGTAGCCCCAAGACTGAATGTATCCTTGTATTGAAAATTGAGCCACGCAAGTTTTTTTTACCATCTCTGGAAATTCCTCTGACCATAGATGATCTTTTTTTTCTCCCATTTTGAGGCAAAAAAACTTAAGAAAATTCCAGAGTATTTCCAAATACTGTTGGAAAATTTTCCACCTGTTTGTCAGTGTTATTGCTGAAGCCATGGCTGATCTTTGGATGTTGAGATGGCCTGGGCAGTTGAGCCTATTATTGTTATTTATTTTGTTACATTTGTAATCTGCTACTTCTCAGCTACATTATTTCCTGGGTTTAACAAAGATAATGTTCAGAGCAATGAAGCAGATTAGTTGCAGTGTAAGTGGAAGAGCTCTTAGGATGATTTGAATGAATGTGGAGTGTAGTATTTTTTAAGATTCATCTGATACCCTACTCCTTAGCAATCTTTGAAGAGAAGAGGATTTGATTCTCTGCACAGAAAAAGGTGACAATGCTTTTCCATACTGTCTCTGTCAAGACATTGGGTAAGGAAACTGGCAGATGGAGGTTTGCTTTGAGTAATTAAGCTCAGTTTATATAGAAAAAATAGTGATCAGATTTATTTTGTTTTAGGCTGATAAACTTTTCTACTCCTTGCCCTATTCATGTTGATTCTTTCCAGCTAGTAGGTTTTGAAGGCATGGATAGGGCATGTTTACTCAAGCTAGGACAGGAGATTCCCCATTGTTAAGAAAGAAGACTGATGCATTGTGGAGGGTACACTCTGTGGTAATATCACAACTCAAGACCTATTTCCATTAGAACTTTGAGATATGGTTATCCCAATAGATGACTGAAAACTAAATGGGAGGAAATGTGATTCTGGTCGGTGTTCCTCAGCAGATTTTGATACCGTAGTTTGATATTTTTTTAAAGGGCATCTGGCAGAGTTAGGCCTTTGGACCACTGTTTTTCAGTGAAGTGAATCACTGATTTCATGGTACATTTGGGGATATGTCCAAAAGGTGATACTGGGAGATTATTGTTTCATTCCTAGTCATTAAACTATAACAGTGGTGGCAAACCCATGGCACGCATGCCAGAAGCGGCACTCAGAGCCCTCTCTGTTGGCACGTGCACTGCCGCCGCAAGCAGCAGGTCCATCAGGCTGCCACCGCTGCCTGGAGCAGGAGCCCCACCCAGCACAAAGAAGGCAAAGCGGCCGACCAGCAAGCTCGAGTAGAGGTGGTAGAGCAGAGGTCACCAACCATTGTTGATTGGTGGACTGGAAGAAAAGGGAGGGGGAAGCATTTTACATGCATGCATGTGCGCACATTTTACATGTATGCATGTGCGAGCACGTACGCGCTGCAAATGGGGCGGGGCTAGTGCCTGCATGATAGTCACTAGCCCTGCCCCATTCTTGCATGGTGCAGCACCTTGTATGTGCACCCTGCAGCACAGCGGCGGCCGTTTTTGTGCCTTGCAGCACAGTGGCCCATTTTTGCACCCCCATTTTTTGCGTGCCAGAGGCGGCACTCAGAAGCATCTCCCTGCTCCCCCCCGAGGGCACCACAATGCTGATGCAGCCCTGGCACTTTGTGATAAATAAGTGGGTTTTGGGTTGTGGTTTGGGCACTGGGTCTCTAAAAGGTTCGCCATCACTGAACTATAATGTCCCACTGGTCCAATATTTCCTCTATTGTTTAACATCTACACAAAAGTTCTGGAGATCACTCAGAGCTTTAGAATAGGGTGCCACTGAATGCTGATGACATCGAGATCTACTGCTCCCTACCATCTAGCTTCCAGATTGACTTGAAGGTTGATTAATCTCAATAATGATCCAGGCAAGGGTGAACAAGCAAATTAAATGCAGATGAGATAGCAGTATTATTGGTAGGGAGGAAACTTGGACTGAAAAATGTAGGTAAAGCCTGTTTTGATTCAGAATACATTCCCCCAGAAAGAACAGTTTGCTGTTTTGGAGGGCTCCTTGTCTCAGTTCTTATTGGATGTCAGATGCTGTTGCAGCAGAGAGTGGTGTGTGTTTGCACAACTGCAAACATTCCTCAGCCAGTTGCATCTGGTAAAATTAGTGACCTTCAATAAATGATATACATTTTGTCATTTTGACAACATTTCAGCTTGCTAAATTGCTGAATCTGCTTTCCCCCCCCATGTAAAATGCTGCCTTTGCTCACCCACATTCTTTACCATCCTGCCTGATGTTGCTTCAAAGTTATTTTGTTTTGAATATTTTTTTTCTCTATATGAATATTGAATATCTGAGTTTGAGTCCTGATGACATGCTGTCATCATGATAATAGTCTGAACTTGGCAAGACAATCAACATTCATCATATATTGACTGACTAAAGACCAGGCAAAGCCTTCACCTTTGATGGACAAATAATTTACCCTCTTTGAGATAAAGGATTCTGATTCAGTTTAGAAGGACCTGCTCTGAAAAACATGAATAGGAATGCCAATAAATAAAATGCTTGTTAAAACCAAATTGATGCTCTCCAGATTTCCTGTGCCCTAACTTCCATATCCTTCCAGTCTCCTGATTTCTTTTCCTTCCCATGTCTTCCCATCATCTGACATAGCTGTATAATTTGCGTTCAGAAGATTTTATTTCCATTTGTAATTAGCTTGTTTTGTTATTAGACCTAGGCAAGACATTTAAAAAGATTCATCCCCAAAACACTGAAGAATCTCTGGCCTCCGAAACCTTCAGCACAGCTGCTTCAAGGGTCTTCCCAGGTTAACTT